TTTTTTTTTTTTTTCCTCTTTTGAATGAATTTCTATCCTAACAGCTTGGTCCACGGTATCAATTGGAGGTTTACAAGACCGAGTCAAGAGGGTGGCATGTGAGGTCTCGAAGCTTCATATCATCCGGAAACTTTGTCTGTGAATTTGTAGGAAAACTGATTCATCAGGACAAGGAAACTAGTAAAGTTGCTGGTGGATTACCGAGCTTTCTGATTTCAAAATCCCGAAATAGTAATGAGGGCCGATCCGATGAAAGTGAGACTAGGTTCCTTATTGATGCTTCCACAGTTGGAAATGTAGCGAGATTCATTAGCTACAGCAGCTCGCCAAACCTTGTCGTGCAGCGTGTGCTTTATGATCATGACGATGAAAGGATGCCTCATGTGATGTTTTTTGCTGCCAAGAGCATTCCTCCTTTGCACGAGATAACTTGTGATTATGATCAGAAGTTGACGATGGACTGAACGAATGTCCGATTTCAATATTGGTAGCATCTTTGGGAAGTTCTTGCAAGGACAGGGCAGATGACTGACTTTGAGCTTTGGTTGTTTTGTTTTGGGTGGTACAGAAATGTTCGTAGCTGTCTAATTTCTCTAGTTGATGATATGGATTTAAAGGAAGAGATTTTTGTACAAAAAAAAAAAAAAAAAAAAAAAAAAAAAAGAAGAGATTTTTGCATGCGTGTGTTGAGAAAAAGATTGTGTAAAGTTCTGAAATAGATGTGAACCGCTATCCTGGATTTCTTGTCCTCGATTATGATATTGGTCTTACTTCCCATTCATCTTATTTTAGTTTAAGTTCAAACTTTCAGCGGCCATATTTCTAATGTTTAATGTCCACTTTATCAAGTCACAGAGTTCAAAATGTGACCAAATCACGCGTCAATGATGGATTGAGTTGTTTAGAGCATCCATAATGTTTTGGTCTCTTTTTGTATATGTGGCAAATAAATAGACTTAAGTCCATAATGACATGGACAAACCCAAGCTAAAAAATCCAAAATCTATCCAATGCAAAAATAAAATACTAGGTCTAACATACATGACAACCAATAAAAATGTTATAATATATTTCATTTATTAAAAAAAAATAAATAGGGAATAAATGATGAGTGCTTGGGTTTGTACTTGGGTCTAAAATAGACCCAAGTGTGGACTAGGTCTCATTTTTTTATTGTCACATAAGCTAGACTAGGTCTACTTTTAATTGCATTGGGAAACACTTTTTTTATAGACTAGGTCTATTTCCTACATGGCATGTAATTTTTTTCTAAGAGACCCAAAACATTGTGGGTGCTCTTATTTGAAGCCCGTTCGACTGTTTGAGGGTTCACTCAATGCCACCCTCGAGGGTGACTAGCCTATTTTGCATTTATTATTATTATTGTTGTTATTATTATTATTACTAATTGTAACCTGTGCATTTGCACAGAAAGCTATATGATAAAGAATAAAATAATAAAAAATTGTAAACAATAGTAAAAATCATAACATAATCATTGAAAAAAACGTTTTAAAAAAGAACCTTGAAAGGTACTCTCAAATCTAATTATCTGATTTTGAGCCTAGGAATAAGAACTTTATCACCAGCTCTGGCACCGGTTCATATTTTGCATTCGAATACACAGTTGCTGAGCTTAGTAATAACTAATCGAGTATCTGTTGATCTCAAAATTCGGAGAACAAAAACATATCAATCGAATTGTACACTAATCAAAGAAAATATAAATGATAGATAAGAATTTTATGGGCTGCCAATTGAAGTGCACCCTCTATCGTTGGATGCGATTACCATTTGTCGTTGTACCGGTTATCTTGATATCTTTCATAACTATCACTTGCAACCCCAAGTAGCCTGAAATCAGTCGATTCTTTTCTGAGAGGAACTTCAACCCTAAGGACCGTCTAGATATAATTTTTTCGTGTCGTTTAATGAGCTAAAAAATAATTATTATTTTAAATAAGTAGTTTAAAAATCTAAATAATTTTTTTTATATGTATAAACTTTCTTATATCCTTTAGTTATTATTAGTTATTATGTAATTTTAAATTATATAATTTAATTAATTAATGAAAAATGTAACAATTTCTATTTACAATTAGTTGAATAAAAGGCGCTGATTTTTTTTTGCAATAAATTCTTTGTCAGTAGTTATATATACATGAATATAAATATAATCATAACGGGTATGATATTTATTTAAAATACATTTATTATCATTACTACTACTATTTGAGGCTATGAATTTCATTTAAACGAATGAATTTTCTAAAAATTAAACACTACTACTATTTGAAGCTATGAATTTTATTTAAACGAATGCATTTTTTAAAAAATTAAACACGTTCTTATGCAACAATATATTGTCATTTATAAGAATGATTGTTTTATTTTTATTTTCTATTTTTGTATTATACCCACAGGGTTTGGTAAAATAATTTGTAATCGTTCTATTTAAAAAATATATAGAATAAAAGTTAGAATAATTAAATCAGCGGATAAAGCCATAATAATCAATTTCAACATTAGTATGCTTGCATATTAAGTAAAAACGAAGCTACTAATCTATATATATATATATATATATATATATATATATATATATTAAAAGCCAACCTATTTACCAAAAACAGTAGCAAGAAAAGTCAACACACATTTAATGCATACTTTATTTGGAAATTTTTTACTATATGCATTAAATGCTTGCATATTTACATTTACTATCCAAATATGATCTTCAAGATTTTTTCCTTAAATAATTTATGCAATGATTTTACTGATATCCAATATAATTAATATTTGTCGAGTAATATTTTTTAACCTTTATTTAATTATATAACTCTAATATTTTTTTAAAAAATTAATATTATTTATTATTTAAAAGATAATGATCACATCATTAAATGATTTTATTGATGGTTAGATAATAAAATTATAGTTATTCATTAAAATTTTGATATGTTATTTATTTGTATATTATTGTCAACTATGATAGTGTTTTTATCACCTTTTTTTTTGTTATGTTTAAAAAATGAACTTATTGTAAAATATTTTTCTATTGCATAGTATGTTAAATAAACTATAAAGCCTTAGGATAAAAATTAGAAAAAATCTCTTGATTATGTAAGGGATTTATTTTTTGGCAATTGCTAAATTATTTTTTTAAAAAAAAAAAGAATTATTATGAGAAAATAGAATCCAAAAAAACATGTGTGTGTATTTTGTAAACATTTATACTCAAAATTTTATTTTGAATTTCATTACATAAAGAAGACTACTTCTATAACTTTTATAAATAATAATAATTACATTACATGACTGTAAATTTTATAATAAAATAATAATTGAGTATCATATGGTGAACAATAGTTAATAGAATTTTTATTTTTTTCTATATCAATGAATAAATATGTATTCTAAAATCAAATAAATATTATTAAGACGTGTTAGCAGAATTATATATTAATTAACATGTTAATTTTTTGGCTTAAATAAACGCCACTTATTAAAAGATGTGAAATATGGATGATCCAAGCCTATAGTTTTTTTGTCTAGACGTACAAGTCCTATAGAAATAATTGATTTATTATATGTATCACGTGCATCGCACGGGTATGCACTAATAAATGACCTTAAAATTGTGCACCCCGTGCATCACCCGTGTTCACATTTTGGCCTATTACAGGACTATATATATCCAGTACATTTTTTTTATTCATTTATATAATTATAAAAATAGATAAATGACCTTAAAATTATGCACCTCATGCATCGCACGGGCTCTGTACTAGTGTAAAAAGAAAAAAAAAAAGAGTGGAATATGCAAATATTTAGTGATGTGATAATCCCTATTATATAT